CACCCGGCGCCCCGGCGGGCGCAGCGCACCATGCCGCAGCTGGACTCGGGCGGGGGCGGTGCGGGTGCAGGCGACGACCTCGGCGCGCCCGACGAGCTGCTGGCCTTCCAAGACGAAGGCGAGGAACAGGACGACAAGAGCCGCGACAGCGCCGCGGGCCCCGAGCGGGACCTGGCCGAGCTCAAGTCCTCACTGGTGAATGAGTCCGAGGGCGCGGCCGCGAGCGCCGGGGTCCCGGGTTCCGGAGTCCGGGTGCATGGAGAGGCCGAGGGAGCGCCCGAGGTGAGCCCGGCCCGCTCCTCCCCGGAGGGCCTCGTCCCGGGTTGGGATCGTGCGGACCCGCGCCCGCGGCCCTCGTGGGTTCCATCCCGGGATCCCCTTGTGTCTCCTCCGCCCCTCACGACCCCTCTCCTTCGCTCTGCAGGCCCTCGGACGAGAGCACACTTCGCAGAGACTTTTCCCGGACAAACTTCCAGAGTCCCTAGAGGACGGTGAGTTCTGCGCCGCTCGGCAAGGCGCTAGAACCCGGGGTGGGGGAGTGGGGGGCGGGTTTCCCGGGCGCCGCTGAGCTAGAGTCACTTCCGGTGCCCTGACCTTTATAGGAGTAAACAGACCCCCGCCATCTCCGCCTCCCCTCCAGCCCAGGTGACTGACTAATCCTTTGCCTTGGGGAGCAAGCCTTGGCTAAGGTTCCCAGGCGGGAGGGCGGGGTGAGGAGTCAAGTCCCGGCCGCTAAGTGGAGGTCTGGACTCTGGATCTTTCCCCCAAAACTTGGCATTGCGGATCTTCTCACCCGTTCGCCGGTCAAGTCACGAACCTGAAGGGGACCCCTTGGCAGTTTTTTTTTGTTTTTCTCTTGATCAGACAGCTTTCAGCCCTTAGGAGCAGCTGGCTGGGCTGGTGTCTGACCCAGCTGTGGTTTTTCCAGGCCTGAAGGCCCCGGAGTGTGCCAGCGGCATGTACAAAGAGACCGTCTACTCTGCCTTCAATCTGCTCATGCACTATCCACCGGCCTCGGGAGCAGGGCAGCTCCCCCAGCCTCAGCCCCCGCTGGTAAGTGACCCCAGAAGTCAGGCACTGTAACGGGCTGGCTACCTCCTGGCCCGTGCAGACGAAGCTTGGACAAAAAGGGACTTCTGCCCAGATGAGAATTCCTAGATGGCGCTTTTCCAGTTCACACTCCGTGGCGTCTGACCCAGAAGGAGAACTCGGACGTGCCTGCTCTCCGCTTTTTCTCACCTGTGGTGGGCCTGTCTTCCTTCCCAGCTTGCTCAAGCAGGTGCCGGAGTTGGACCATGCTGGGGTTGGGGGTCGGGGTCCTCTGAAACCTGTTTGGAGTTGATATGCTTCCCTGTCGTGATGTGCGTGCTCTGAATAAGAGCTTTGCGGTTAGCCTCCTCCGGGGAAGCAAGGTTAGCTTTCTCCCGGGAAGCAAGGGAGCTCGGGTGAGAAGAATGGGTCGACCTAATCTTTTCCGATTCCCAGCTGTGCCTCAGGAGTTACCGTCACCGGGCCACTGTCCTTACATAGGCCCTCGCTAGGCACCCTTGCCACACGGTGTGGGTTTTGAGCAGATTGGCCTGGCCTCACACACACCAGGAAGAGTTTGCTAAAAGTGCTACAACTCACAAGTGTTGGTTAGGGGTCGGCTGCACGGGTGTTGGTTAGGGGTCAGGCTTTGTGACGTGGTCGTGCTCATCGTGAGCCAGACCTTTGGCCCTTTGCTGCAGGTAAAGTGTGGCGAGCTGGTTCTGAGCTGGGTAGCAGCAGCAAAACGCTATTTTCGAAAAGTGCTAGGATCCCGGACTGTCCTCAGTTGGGGATTAGGGTGTGTGGAAAGCATGGAGGTCTGTTGGGTATAGCCACAAGCTCAGTGCAGGTTCCCCAGGCTAGAGGCTCTGGTGGCTAGTCGCAGGGTCCATGCAGAAGACAGGATAACTACAAGAATGGTCGTTCTAAAAAGCAGCTCCCTAGGGAAGCTTGTGGGAGGCGAGAAGATGGATGCATGCTATTCTCCAGGAACAAGCTTTGCCTAAGGTTCCCTGCTAGGAGGGTGAGGTGGGGAGTCCGGGCCACTTAGCAGAGGAGAACCTGGTACCCTCTAGATGTGGACTCCCCTTCTTCACCTGTAAGCTGTGTGTGCCGGCCGGCTGTGCGCTCTGTCCGCCTGCGCGCTCTGTCTGCCTGTGCGCTCTGTCCGCCTGTGCGCTCTGTCCGCCTGCCTTTCTGCTCTGGGGTGGCTTGGTGTCTGAGGTGCTTCTCCTGTATACGAAGAGGTGGCTGGCTCCGGACACTGTCACTTGCTCTAGAGACTTGTGCCTTGTACAAGCAATGCTTAACAGAGACAACCTTTTAAAATCCCCTAGTGGGTGTAAAGCCACGGAGCTGGGGGCCAGCTGGCATAACCTACCAGTTTGAAATCACTGGCAAGCATTATTTGGGCTGGGCCTAGGCTCACTGTGGTAACCATGAGTAGACCAAAGGCAGAGCCCCCGAGGATCTGCCTGGCAGGGTGGTCTTTCAGGACTGCACAGCAACACATGGAGAGGGCAGTGTGATTTGGGGGTTCACTCATAGATTGAGCCAGAGACAGGAGATGCCTAGAGCTGCCAGCGGTGGGTGGGAGAGCAGCTATCCAGCCTACAGGTAAGGGTGATGGGCCTCGGGGAGGACCACGAGCAGGAGCGTGGTGGGTCCCCACAGTCAGGCCCAGTAGCACCCACCTACCTTAGGGCTATGCGGATTTTGCTTTGGAGTCCTTCTCAAGCTGCAACAGAGGGACAGCTGTGTGTCACTGTCCCCCTGCCTTCCTTCTCAGCCACTGTCCTCTGGTGACCCCAGAGGTGGAGGACAGGCTCTACTGATTTTCTTGACCATGGCAAAAGCTGCTGAGCAGACCTAGAAAGACAGAGGCAGGGGTTTGTATTGGAGGGGTGCTGGGTTAGGGGGATAGATGTACATGAGTGTAGAGAGACTGTCTTGTGTGTGTGTGTGTGTGTGTGTGTGTGTGTGTGTGTGTGTGATGCATGTGAGGGCATGCACACTCCGAGGATAACTGTGAAGTCTGTTCTCTCCACTCTGACCTGGGTTCTGAGGATCGAACTCAGATCATCAGGCTTACACAGGGTTTTTAGCTGCGAAGCCATCTTCCTGGCTCGAGAGAGTCTCTTTGGCAAACCTGACAGAACACAGAGCAAATATAAGTTAAAAAAAAAAGTAAGAGTAGCTTGCAACCCGCGAAGTGTGGGTGTTTCAAGTAGAGTTTGGTTGTACAGAGCAAAGTTGGTCATCCTATGTTTTGGGAGCCCATGGGTCACCTGACTTCAAGGCTCACTTGTGTGGTGCTGGGAAAGGTGCCCTCATTCTCTTAACAGGTAAGGAGTGCCTTGCAAGGGCCCTGGGGCAGGGAGTCTTTTTGCCAAAGCTGATTCTTTCCCACGCCCCTCTGTAGGAATACAGACAGTAGGCCACTCATGCCCTGCCGACCCTCCTTTGACCCGGGCCTCCTCTCTCTTTACCCCGGCCTTTCCTGAGGGCATACAGGAGATCAGTGGTTATGCTGAGATGCTGAAGACCAATGGGTAGACCTCCCTAGGTATTAGGGAAAGCCTGCTCCGGGGAGCCTCTCTGCCCACGTGGCTACCGCATTGGAGACATCTAAACAGGCCAGCTTGCGCCTTGCCCAGAGCAGTGAGCCAAATTCTGAGTCACAGCCAACCGCCATAGAACACAGACTCTCACCCCTTGCCCAAGTGGCTTTTTTGGTGTTTTGGCGTCTTTTACACCTTCTCTAGGAATGGGAGATTGGTCAAAGTTGAGTCCTCCACCGGTGTTGGTAGGGCATCTCCTGGTGGCTGGTAGACAGTGGTCTAGACCAATAGCCGGGGGTTGGGTGGGTTTTTGTTTCTACACACTCATGCCTGCTGCTGCGTGTGTGTCGGGTCAGAGAACCTGGGGGAGCTGTTTCTCTCCTTCCACGTGTGTCCAGGGATCAAACTCGGGTTCTGGTGCCGGGCTTGGCAGCAGGCCTCCGCCTGTTTTTTGTCTTGTTTCCTCTGATTTCAGACTCAGAACAGGGTTGGGGTAGGGAGGGTGGGGAGTGAACTGATGCGCTAGGCTGGGCTCTGGGGGCAGGGGCTGGGCTGAGTAAGGTGTCCTTACTTAGGGAAACTCAGGCAAATAAATGGCTTTGCGTGATGGTGCTATCCTGAACAGGACAGAGGCAGCATGAATCTCTGGCCCCTTCTATGGGCCCTCTTGTTTTGGTTTTTCGAGACAGGGTTTCTCTGGGTAGCTTTGGAGCCTGTCCTGGAACTCACTCTGTAACCCAGGCTGGCCTTGAACTCACAGAGATCCACCTGCCTCTGCCTCCTGAGTGCTGGGATTAAAGGCGTGCGCCACTACCGCCCGGCTTCTGTGGGCTCCTGTTGGAGCCTATGAGCTGGAATAGCAAATCATTGAAGTGGTTGAGAATAAGGGGGCTGATTGCTAGCGGCCGTGGGGTTCCTTTTGGGGTGACGAAGATGTCAGAATGAGTTTGTGGTGACTGGTGACAGCCTTCCATAGCTACTAAAAGCCACAGAATTGGATGCTTCAAAGCGGTGTGTTTTATGGTTCGTGACTTACGTCTCAATTTTTTTTTTTTTTTTTTTTTTAAAGCTGAGGCTTTTGTCCATGGCAGAGGTCACATTCCCTGTTCCTAGTCCCCACAGGTCTCTGGTACTTGTATAGGTGCTCATCCGGTGGGCCTAACTGCCCTTCCTGTTTGGAGGCTGACGGGGGAGACAGGATGCATCCTGGGGCCCCCGGGCTCCCCTCTGTGCTCCTGAGTTGAGGTCCAGGCTGAAAGCCGTGCAGTGAACCCTTGGTGGAGCAGGCCTCCTGGGAGCCCAGGAAGGAGGTACCGTCCTTGTGTGCTCCTCTCAGAGCTAGGTGAGGAGAAGTACCTACCATCTAGCTATCCCCAGAGCGAGGGTTTGCTGCAAGCCTTAGCGGTAGCACCAGTCTAGGTCATAGTGAAGCTTGTTGGGGGAGTTAGGTGGAGTGTGGCACCAGGGTGCCCCATGACCGTAAGCAGGGTTGGCCCCAGGAATGCCCAGCTATGGCTGCGAGGGACTCCAGCGAGCAGCATTGTAAGCCACTGCGTGTTCAACAGAAGAGGACAGGGAAGGGCCCAGCATGCACTGGGGCCTCCCTTCAGAAAGCTACGTGGATCAGGGATGTGTCTCCAGGGACATCTCAGACCTCCCTCTTCTGGACTTTGTCATGCCACCCGGCCAATATCCCCCCTGTTGCTGTCTTCTGGATGGCAGCAGATGCCTCCTCCAGGGTCCCCTTGCCTTCCTCTCCGTCCCCAACCCCTACCTTAACCAACAGTCACATACTAGTGAAAGGGTGCCTTGGGGACCTGGGTCAGATCTCGTCTCTTGCCTCATTGGACCGCTTAGGACTTGCACTCCTCACCGAGGAAGTCTAAATTGCCTACCACAGCTTGAGTGCTGAGGCTCCCCCTCCCCCACAGCAGCCGGCTCCATGTCCTTGTGGGGCCCACACCTAGAGATCCCTGTGCCTCCGACTTTGGCACTCATGCCCTCATCTTGCTGCCTCTTCCCCAGCTCTTCACGTGGGTACCACCTCATTCCTTGTTTGGCATTACTTCAGGAACCTCTGACCGGCCGTGCTCAGGGCCTTGGCTACCTGGCAGCGCCTCAGACCAAGGCAGTGGGCGCTGCTCTGTAGGGCACTTGCTGTGTCCTTCTGTCCGTGTCTCCTGGTCTCCCTTCTGGACAGTGGACTATCAAGCACCCTTCTAGAAGTAGAGTGAGGATGTGCAACTTGGCCAGAGAGGGGCCAGGGCAGTTGGGGGCAGGCATTGGCCGTGGTTGATCTCGGCTCTCCTGGGCCCAGGAGTGGCTGGCTCATCGGCCTTCACGTGGCTTCCCATCTAGAGGGCTGTGCTTCCTCTTTGGGCCAGAGAGGTGTGATGGTCTGAACCCCTGCCTCAGGGGGTTCTTGGGTAGGATGCAGTATTCCTGAAAGCCTCCCCCCGCACA